CTAAACAATGAGTTAAGGCTACAGCCTTAGACAAGGACATAGTGAAGGGCTCTGAGCAGATGGAGGACAAGAGTGCTGTTTTGAGAATTTGGTTCTGGAGGCAAAATCAAAGTTAATTAGGAGTCTCTTGTCACAGTAAAAGGAAGAGGCTCTGGCATCTGAGTAAGGGGGCTGGGTATGGGGACCGAAATGATGGACAAGATGCAGGATCAATACTGAAGCCAGATGAGCTGTGGACTGTCAACAGGAGCACACACATATAGAACGGTGCAGAAGTGTGAGGACACTGAGAATTTGCTTAATGGTATTTTGGCTGAAGTCCAATCAGTAGATGAAAACTGGAGCTGAGGCTGGTGAGGAAGCTAATGCTACCTAGGGTTCAGCATTGTCTTGGGGTAAGAGGCAGCCCCACTGGGCAGCCCTTCCACTGGCCTCTTTAGGTCTGTCCCCTGTCCTTCACCAACCTGGTCCTCCCAGGAGGCTGACCTACAGCCCACCATATTTCCCACCTTTAGAGTTCCTATTGGGTTTGAGTAATAGGGGGCCCAGCAGGACTTAGAAGGAAGGAGAAGCATGAGAGCTGGCATTTATTCAGCCTTCTCCCCAGGCCACTGCAGGCTGACTGCAGCCCGCAATGCAGCCTCCTGTCTAGAAGGCCCTCTGGTCTCTGGTAACAGCCCCTGCCCCCAGCCATTCAGTAACTAGGCTCAGGTCCTGCACTGTCCCTGTGGTCTACCTGCAATATGCCCACAGCTTTGTCAATTGCCCCTGTCAAGCTTTTCAAACTAGGAAGAGCCACAGAAATCGTTCTGACCAGCAACAGAAAGCAGGTTGGTAGCAAAGGAGAGACTAGGTAGAACACAGGCGTGCTGACTCTCCTTCCAGAGGACTGCATCCCACCCATGAGCCCTGGACCCCGCAGTGGTGGTATTATCCTTCCCAAGCCAGGGGAGCCCACTGTGTGTGTGCACCTACACACACATGCACATACACACAGATAGATACACACTCACACATCACACACACATAGACATAGACACACAGACACGCAGACACAGATACATACACACAGACATAGAAACACACAGACTCACACATACACAGACACACACAGATACACTAGTGCCATGGGATTCGGCTACAGTCAGGTCAAAGAGGTTATAAAAAGCCTTCCTGGGTAAACGAGACTTGGGAGCACACAGAGCTGTGCTGAGGAGAACATCAGCCACACCGCTTGCCCCCTGGTGCTGAGAGGCTCACAGACCTAAGGCAGCCAGCGCACCTCAGGCCCCTCCTGTGCCGGCTGGCCAGGCCCCCCGTCCCATCCCGTCCTGCCCACCACCCCAACCCCCAAGTCACTGCAGGCAAGCATAACCATGGCTGTGATAACCATGCAGCCCAGATTCCAGATAGGGACACACACTTTACCACAGATCTACTGGTGAGGGAATGGGGGTGGGGTTCCAGGTACAAAAGGCAGTTTGGTAAATGTTGTTCAAACACCCATATTCTGGACATCTCAGTGGTTTATGGGGGAAGGAGAATAAAACATGGGATACTGGGATTGTACCCAAAAATTCAGGACCCACGGGAGGCAGGACCCAGGGGAGTTGCAAAGGGGAAAGGAGGTGTTAAAACAAGGCTAGGAGAATCCTGTTTTTTTTTTTAAACCTTAGAAATAGTTCTGTACCTAATTGTGTTTCATTACATACCCTTCCCAGGGCTGACACTGTCCAGAATATTCTGCCATCAGAATTTCTGTTCCACCCACATGCTTTCAGGCATCCTGAGAGTCCGAGATCTGCCTGTAGATCCTAGCAGAATAAGGAGCAGCCCAAGAATTTGAGGGCAAATTTATTTTTTAAGTTAAAACACATGAAAGATTATATTCCACACACAGTGACAGTGACACATCCCCCTCTGGATGCCCAGTGTCCTTCACTTTTGTGACCAGCTCTGTCTGGGTGACTTCTCGGCTCCCCCAGAAGTCAGAAGCTGACCCAGAGACTGGGACCCAAGTGCAGGACTCCAGCAGGGAGGTTGGTGGGGGGACACAGAGAAGCCAGTAACCGCTGAGTCTTCAAGTGGGCCACTGAAGCGAAGGCCTGTGGGCAGCCCAAAGACATGGGGTAACCCCACCCCAAAGCATCCCCCAGGAGAAGGGATTGGAGGCATTTCTGAGTCCTGTGGAGCCACTCCCAGGGTGTGTCTGTTTTCTGGCACTTCTTGTGGGCCATGGGCGAACTGCAAGGTTTGCTGTTACTGGGGGACAGGTTTGGAAGGCAATGCGCCCTTCAACACAGGTGCAGCGGCTGGTAGGTGGAGGCTGGCCATAATGCCCTGTTTCCAGAAAAACATCCCTGACAGGGAGAATGTTCTGAACATGGGATATGAGCACCCAGCCATAAACTGGCCCCTCTTCACCTTTGGCCCCCCAGCTGAACCAGAGCACTGTGCCTGGGGCCCAGGCAGAGGTACATCAGCCTGGCTAGAGGCCCTGGGTCACCACAGGAAGGGGCAGAGAAGGGTGACACAGACTAGAGCCTCCAGAAACTTCCAACTGACCAAGACCACTTCCTTGAAGCTCCAGTTACTGAAGCCTTCCCTTTCTTTCAGGCGCTCACAGCAGTGTTCAATGAAGGGCAAGAACGCCCACCTGACTGGACTGCATGGCGCCCGCACGGACCCAGTGCCAAAGGTTGGGCACAGACACATCCTCAAGCGGAGTGTCAGACCTCAGCCAAAGCTCAGACCGCAGCCGGGCAAGCATTTGGCTCAGAGGAATGTCTTCACTAGACATCGTAAACCTGCTTTTCCCAAGGCCTTCTTAATAGGAGGGAAAGGAAAGGACAAAGGGCAGAAAATGGCCAAATGGAAAGAAAGGCAGAGAGGCTGAGACAGACCAACCACCACAGAGCTCATTCTCCTCTGAGATTGCCCCTGAGGAGCTCCTGAGGGGCCCTGAAGCTCAGCTGGAGGGAAGCACCCTTTTGTGGGAAAAGCTATTGTTCAGGAACGTTTTATGACCTCACAGCTCTTTAACAAGAGGAATTTTAACAAGGGAAGTTTCCATCAAGGTTTCTTTATGAAGTGGGCAAAGGTTTCTTTATGAAGTGGGCAAACTGAGTTCACGCTGTTCCTCCCCCACAGGGATGTTTTCTCGTCATCTTCCCTATTTTTTCAAAAGAGAGAGAGAGAGAAATAGGGAGCTAGTTTACTGAAGGACAGTGTTAAAGGGAGAGAGAGAGAGTGGAATCACACGTGAGGCCCGGGATCTTGCCTGAGGTCTCCCAAGTCCAGGACCCGGAGACCCAGGGTGAGGCAGGCCCCTCAGTTTTTCCACAGCCCTTGCTGCAGGAACTAATTAATCTTCCTCATTTAAATGTTTTTGGGGACAGGATTTGAAAAAACAGAGGTTTTTCAGGATTAAAGGGACCCAAGCCCTTACATCAGGAAACTGAAATCCCTCAGTGGCCCCCAGAAAAACACCAGGCTCAAGGAGCTCTGTTGACTCCCGAGGCCACGGCCCAGCCCTCCACTGTGGTGCCTCCTTGGAGTCCTGAAAATGTTAGCACTTCCCTCAAGAACTTGTAGGAAAACGGCCCGTCCACTGGGTGGGTCAGTGGCAGAAGGCAAAGTCTGGGCTTGGGTCTGTGATGTCTCTGTGACAGAAAGCAAGCCATGCCTGCCTCTCAGAGCCCCGGGATCTCCGCTTGTAAATGAAGTCATGGTGCTGATCCCATCTCAATAAATACACGAAAATCATTGCAGAGGAAAAGCTCTTAGCAAAACTCTTTATCCAATTAAGAAATGACAGCTACTCACCTCAGGACCATCTGCAGGCTCAACATTATGCCAAGTGGGAAATTGTTCTGTACAGCAGAATCCTTTCAAAGCTTATTTTTGGTCCTCGAGTCTATACAGATATGGTGGGCTCCCCAGCAACATGCAGACCACTGCCAGTGGCCACAGCATGGCACAGCAGAGGTCTAGGGGCGACCTTGCATAAGACACCCTAACTCTGAAAGGCTGCAGAGTAAATAGCTGGTAAAGCAGTTTCCCCATCTGCCTCTGCATTCACCCACCCTGGGGCCCTTCATGACCTGTGACACCCAGTGAGCACCCACAGTGGGGGACTGTCTCGTGAGGCCTCGTAAGGATCTACCCCGTGGGCCAGTTACTGCTCAGGAAAGGAGGTTTGTTGGTTCCCTAGCTGAGAAGGGTGGGGAGCTGGACGCAGGGCTGAGAAATGACTACAGAGGAACCGGCAGAATAGAAGACAGAGGCAATAGACTGAGCCAGCTGGCCTTCTCGGAACATGAATATCCCAGGCAGGTGGGTCCCCTGGTCGGCAGAGCAGGACTTGGAAGTGTAACATCACAGTGTCCCCAGCCACCCGTCTGTCCCCTTCCCGCAGATAGCCATGCAAAGCAGGACTTCCGGTCACATGGCTCTGTTCAGACAACACGCATCCGTATGTACCCCACAGAGTACAAAGAAATATAGGGCCAACCTGCCTTCTGGGACTTGTTATCTAGTTGGGTAGATAAAGAAAATACATCATATCAGCCTGTAAACAGTCAATAATCAGACTAAGAATTCAGAGTAATCAAGAAAGGCTTCATAAAAGAGAGGGCATGGGCTGGGCTTGAAAGAAGGGCAGAAACCCAGCCCTAGGAGACTGTTCCAGGCAGAGGGAGTGGCTCACACAGAGGCTTGGAGGAGAGGGGCAGGAGGCAGGCTGCCACTGAGGGGAGGTGGACCACTGGTGACCACGGAGGCCAGCCAGCTGCAGGACTGTCATCAGCACTGGGGGGTCCTCATGGTAGAAAAATGGCCGAGCTCTTCCTCACCTCCTACCCTCAACCCTTCCTGCCCTCAGGAGAAGAGCTACTGTCCCAGTATTCCCAGAAAGGATCTAGACAGTTCCCTTTGCCTGCGTCACAGACCCAGCGCTCAGTAACACTCTCCACCTGGGACCTGGGGTGATAGCAGCTCACCAGGAAGCCGCTGGAGATCCTGACGCAGCTGCTCCAAAGAGGAGGACAGAGTGGCCACGGCTGCAGAGGAAGGCAGCTGTCGCTCCACGTCTGGGAGACCCCGGGCATGCACATCTCGCCTGCGTTTGAAGAAGAACGTACTATGGGTTTCACTTGGTTTCCAAAGCATTTTCCTCATAAGGACAGGAATTGATGCTGCCATGGGGACAATTTATAGCAGGTGCTTCTCTTGAGCCCTCTGGTCTCCTTTCTTTCTAATTATTCACAATGTCACAAACCACACTACACCTTAATGTCACAAAATAGAAGCATCCACAGTGGAGTTTCTCGGCCTCATCACTGTTGACACGTTTAGCCAGATCATCCTTTGTCATAGAGGCAGCCCTTGGAGGTGTAGAATGTTAATAGCCTCCACGGCCAGTTGCACACCGTGACAATAAAAAATGTCTCCAAACATTGCCAAATGACCCATGGGGCAAAACCACTCCCTTTAGGAACCCCTGTTCTTTGGAAGCTCCTATCTGAAGGCAGCCATTGCCACCCAGCCAGGAGCATGAGGTCCAAGGACAAGCTGTGCATAGGGGTCAGGACATGAGCTCAGAGGACCACCAGACCAGACCCTGGCTAGAATTAGCACCTGTGTGACCTTGGGCAGGTCAGTCCTCCTGCTCTCACCTGTAGCACGAGGATGCCCTCATCCAAAGGTACTTATCAACACCAGGAGGTGTTTTCCTGGCACTGCAATAAAAACAGAGAAATTTTTCAGATTGTGTGTTTCATAAGAATATTCCCAGGGGCAGGGAATGTTTGCCTGTTTGTTTTCTCTTTTTCTTTTTAAATTAGAGCCCCACTTTGGAAGAGCAACAAAGAAAACTTCTCTGCAGACTGTTCTGGTGGTTAGACCTCCTTGAGTTTTCCCTCTTCAAAGAGTTTCCTTCTTCCTTGTCCCTTAAAAAGGAGTGGCCAGTGAAGACGAAAGTCAAAACCCTGCTGGTCAGCTGAAAGCAGGGGGAGGCTGCAGGGCCGTGGAGCAGAGAGCCTGCCCCTCACTCCAGGGCTGCCACAGGCTTGCCTGAGATCACAGCCTTGCTGGGCTGCTGGCCCCCCCGTGTGTGATCCAGGCCTCGGGTTGCTCCTCTGGGCAAAGAGCTATCAGGACGGCAAATTTGCCTTCAGTAACTGACCCTCGGCGTGTAAGGCACAGGCATGCTCCAAAATGCCACTTTTTTCCTTTGCTTTGTGACATCTCCTCCCCTTTCTAAGTGACGCTCTGTTAACCTCCATAGCCCTTCACTGCCATGTTGAAAATACCCAGTGGCACCATCAGGAACTTTTGGGCTTCCCAACATGACATGGAAATCTGGAAAACCGGACGTGGCAACCGCACTCTAATTTTATGACTCTGACTTTATTGCCAGCACAGAGGCAATAAAGAGAAATAATAAACGAAACAGTATGCAGATCTCCAGAGACAGCAGCCAGACCCAATCTGCCCCAGACTGCATGAGGTGCTAACCTTGCTGGGCAGCCGCTCCCTCTATCCAGGGAGGGGAACGAGATACTCCCCCACCTTCCAGGCGGCCTCACAAAAAGGTGCTGCCTTCTGGGAGGCCGTGCCCAAGTCAGCAGCGGTTGATCCAGCCACAGAAACGTGAAAGCAAATGAAAAAGGTGGGGATTCTCCAAATCATGACCTGGTGAACAGATATTCAAACAGATAAAAATGAAAGTTAACTATTTGCAGTATGTATTAATTCACAGTACAACTGTGTTAAGTGAATTGATTATCAAATTGCTATTAGTAATTTTAAGAATTTGTTTCACTAAGTTTTTACAAGAAGGAGAAAACATCCATTATATCCTCATACAAATCCTTTGTGAAGAGCATTTGGTAAATTCAATTTCCATCTTCAAGTTTCAGTTCCCTGATTTGTGGAATTATACGAATCACAAAAAGAGCAACAAAAATCTAAGGTCTCAGTACCTACGAACAATTAGCAATCAACTGATATCTCTGTTTTTTAGGTTTCAGAGTTCTTTTTTTAAGATGTTCTGCCTACATCAAAGCTATTTATATCCACATATCAATACCAATGTGTATTTTACAGGGACAGGATAAATATAGACTCAAGAAATGGGAAACCCACGTTATTGATTTCAATGTCTTAAAATTTCATGCAATCCTCTAGGTATCAACACTGCTAACTATTAAATATTCCACCAGAAAGAAAAAATAATAAACTCATAGAAAAAGGGATCAGATTTGTGGTTACCAAAGGTGGGGAGTTGGGAGGGGGTTATAGAAGAAAGGTACAAACTTCCGGTCACCAGATAAATAAGTACTAGGGATGTAAAGAGCATGATGGCTACAGTTAACCCTGTTGTATGATATAAAGGGAAGGTGTCAAGAGAGTAAATCCTAAGACTCCTCATCTCGAGGAAAAAAATTGTTTCATTTCTTTGCTTTCTCTTTTTATTTAATCTGTGTGAGATAATGGATACTAACTAAATTTACTGCAACGATGATTTCACAAACTACGTAAGTCAGACCATTGTACTGCACACCTTAAACTTATCCAGTGATGTGTGTCATTTATACCTCAATAAAGCTGGAAAAAATATCTGAGTGGTTCCAACTTGGAATCAGAGAACAACAGAAAATTGAGATAAAACTAATAGAAATACATGCACACACATACATATGTGAATATTCTTGAAAAGCTAATCTAATAGCCATACTATTTAAGTTAGTAACAAAGTATAAGAGAGATTAAATATGAGAAGACCGAAACATAGCCACTGAATTCTGGCAAGTGGAAATCTGCAGTTCCATTATTAGTCCCCACCTGCTGGCAGCTCCTCATTCTCATTAGGGGTTTGGCAGAGTGACAGACAGTGTGACAGGGACTCAGACTGAAGGACCTCCTATGGCTACTGGATGATCACTGGGCAAACACTGTGTGGCCCCTCGGCTCACCTCTTGGCCATCTTGCCTGTGTCCCCAGGCTCCTCACCTTTGGAAATGAGGATGAGACCCCACAGCCAAATTAAGAACCAGTTATAAATGAAGTGAAGGGAACCCAGCCCACACTGCCCCCAGAACAGCCACGAGGAATCCTCATGAGACATCTGCCCAAGAGCAGGATGCCCTACCCGCATTATCATTTTGCCAGAGGTTTTTCTCTTTTCTTTGGGGTTTTCTTAAACATTCATTTGTGTACTCATTTTGGGAAAAGCAAAAGCAGAGGTCACCCTTCCAGCCCAGAGGCCTGGGACCAACACAACTTTTTCCTTTCACAAACTTCATTATGAATAAAGACTACAAATTTTGATATCTTTCATTTGGAAGCATCACCTACATTTCTGTCTCAGAATGGAATCAGTTCTCAAAACCAAGATGGTGCAGAAGCCAGAACCAGCTGGGGTCTCGGCAGCTCTGGAGTGAGCATTCTGCTGTTTCTGATTTGTGACCTAAGACATTAGCCTTCAACAGCAGCAAGGGGCTTTTAAACACACAGACCTGTGTTTTCCTAGAAAGTCCATAAGGAAATGATCCTTGGAGGCCTTTGCCCAAGGGCCCTCCTGACTAGCCAGAAACACAGGGCAGGCTGGTGCCCTCCTTGGGCCCTGGTCATACCCCTCATGTCAGCCAGGGTTAAAGGACCATGCTTACTCAGACAGAATGCCGGTGCCCCAAACTTTAGAGCACTGGAGTCTATAGTAAGGAGACCTGGGGATCCCCCAGGCCTTGTGTAGCCATCCATTCTATTCCTTACGCATCCTTGAGAGGAAATTCAGGCCGCAGATGTCTCTCCTCTGAATTCTCCACTCCTTCCCTACTCCCAAGTGTTTATCTAGGACACTGTGGGACCCAAAGGCAGATCCCGCTCGGGCCTACCTAAAATGTAGCCCCTCCCCACTTTGGATTTACCTGCAAGGTGAGACCCTCCATTTCAGGCTGTGTTGGCCCATCCTGCCTCCCTACACTCTGGTTCCAGGTAACAGTGGGAAACTCTGTTTCCCTGGTGTTGTCTAACAAAGGGTCGCACTCTCCAGGACCCCAGCAGAGCCTCTGCCCCAAGGATGGGGGGAAGAAGAGAGGCAGGGCCTGTGGCAACAGGGCCTCGTTCCACTAACAGCAGGTCCTTAAAAACCCTCCAAAACCTAGTGGCTTAAAACAACAGCTGTTTTACAGTTTCTAATGATCTTATGAGTGGGCAGGGCTCAGCAGAGCCATTCTTCTCACTCACAAGGCAGCCACAAAGGTCACTCTGCTGCGCCAAGGGGCAGACGGCTGCACTGTCGTGTCCTGTACCAAAGGCTGGGCTCGCCTGGGGCTGTCACCCAGGTGGCCTCTGAGGCCTGGCCCACTCAGGAGAGCTGGACTCCCCTCACGGCAGCTTGGCCCCCGGGAGTGCCTCTCCAGCCGCACTGCTGTTCTGTGACCAGCCTCCGTGGCTCCGGGCACCCGTCCACTGTGCTGGAAGCAGTCAGAACCTGCCCAGATTCACAGGCTGAGGACATGGATCCCACTGCCCACCCCACCCACCCCCGTGTGAGGAGGTGCATCTAGAATCTGTGAGAGGCCTCATCTGCTGCCCTCTGGAGCTGCTCCCCCAGAACCCTGGGTTCTCTGGTTTCCTATGTGACTGCAGCATCCAGAGCAACCTAGCCTCTGTCCCCTGGAGGGCCCCTGGGAGGGCCCCGCTTCCCACCCAAGCACGACCTGTGGGTGTGTACCACCAGAGACTTGCACCAGGCTCTTTGTCAGAAGGGCAGTTTGGCAGAGCTTGTCCAAACCCCTCTCAGCACGTGCTAATGAAATGAGTCTCTTATTCCCCAGATTGAACACGTCCATGACTTCCCATCGCACACAGAATAAACCCACCCTCCTTACCTCAAAATCCCACAGGCCCCAGCTGGCCTGACCCTGCCCTACTCTCCCAGCTGTCTTTCTTGTTACTCTTTCCCACTTGTCCTGCCAGCCACACTGGCCTTTGTTTTCTCCAGCTCACCAGGCTCGCTGTCCCCTCGAGGCCTCTGCACCCACTGCTGCTCCTGCGAGGCCCCCCCATTCTTCACCTGGCCATCTCCTGTGAATCTTTCAAGTCCCTACCACATGTCATGAGCTCAGGCTGCTCCTCGCCACCTATTTTATTTACGCCTTTACCTGCATCACCCTGTTTACTGACATCACACAGATTTACAATGACCCCGTTTACTCAGGCTGATCTAAATGACAGCAGTGTGCCTGCATTCCTCGCATTCAGCTCGGGTCCTGACACATGGATGGCACTCACCTAATACTGGCTGAATGAATGAATGAAAACAAAATGACATTCTTCCCCTGGTGGGCTTCTCAACCCCACTGTCAGGGCAGTCACCTTTGGCTCAGTGTGAGGTTCCACAGAACTGGATCAGTCTCCACCCGAAAATCCCTCAGAGGGAGCATATCCAACCTGCTGTGCCTTAGCTCAGGCAGTTGGGATACTTGGTGGTGCGTCAGGAATAGGGTACACATGTCCCAGGAAACGTCTGGACAGCCACTCGCACGCTGATACTCCTTACCTCAGCCAATAGTAAATCTGGCCTTTGCTGACAATGTACTCACCACATTGCACAAGGGATCCCATTGCCAAGAAGGCTGGTTAACCTTCTACCCCTCACAAGGGGCCACAGAGCAGGGCCAGCCTGGCTGCACCTAGTCGCACTTACTCCGTCTGGGCAGGTCACCCACCATCTGTTTCTCAGCTTCCTCAGCTACAGGAACATAAAATGAGAATTAAAACACATGTAAAGGGCTTAGAATATTGCATGGCCCCTAGTAAGCAGTCAGTATCAACTATTAGCCTGATTTTCAAAGCTGTCCACAACCCACCCACACACACACACTGATAAAATCCTTCTGTCCCTTGCCCTTAGCTGATCCTCTCCCTGAGCCATGCTGGTCTTCTCACAGCCTAAGAAAGATCCATGTCATTTTCAAAATCCATGTCATAGCCCCTGCTGGGAATATGTCTCCCACTACCTAAGCAAACTCCGCTGGCCACTCCACATGCCCAAATCCCACTTTCCTTTCCTCCCAGAACCAGCTCAAACTCCAACCCCTCCAGACCAGAAAGAGTTCTCTCCTTCCTGCAATGCAGAGTATGTGCAGGTCATTCTTGATCAATTAATCAGGCATCCACTGGTTTCAAATCATTTCAACCTTTTCTTGTCACTCAGATTTTCCTATGCTGAGGTCCTATCTTCTCAGCTGGACTAAGTCTCCTTGAGAACATCGTCGCTGAGCTTCCACAGAGTGGGCACCCCGATCGTCATACTGGAATCACAGTGATTGCTGCCTGGCATTTCCCTGGCACGTTTTAGACATACTGGACAAGCAGCCTTAGTAAAATTTACAACCCGTTAAAACTTTTAAGTCCAATCAGAAGAGGTTATCTTTAAATAGCCAACCTCCCAGAATCCTCTTCAGAGGAGAGAAGGGAAAAACACTACATTCACAGTTAATTTCTTGACTGTGGGACCTGCACTTACCTGATTTTAAAAATTAAAGCTAAAAGGGTTCCTATGATTGTATGAAGTGAAGAGTTCATACCTCCCAACAGCCTGACTCTAAATACTCACACCCCTCAAGGGGAGGATTCAACAGCTGGACAGCCAGCGAAACTCCAAAAAGAAGTGTCAATGGGCTGCTTGGCTGAGGGAATATCTCTCTCTTGAGGACAAAGAGGTTAATAGGTAACAGAAGTGTCACTGGAGCATTCTGAGGCCAAATGTGACTGGTAAACTGGGGCAACTGCCTCAGCATATAACTGGTTATGTTTGTTTTTCTTTTCTTTTCCAGAAATGCTTTTAAAATTTTAGAACTTCTAAATTCAGTGCCATGTTCCTGTGATCACTGCTTGCTCAGCACCATTACAGCTTATTCTAAGGCATCCTGGAAGGTCGCTGGTGGCTTCTTTTACATGCTAGCTCTTCTCAAAATTAATCCACAGTCAGAATCCTGCTGTGTGGACCGTGATCACAAGCTAGGAGGCCTGTTGCAAAGACACCCTGCAGACTAGAACTCATCAAACCTTTCTAAGTACTCATGGTAATTGGGAGTCTTCTGTCCTTATACGCAATATCTCCTGGGGCCTCCTGTATACTTCTTCCTCAATACCTTTGAGTAAAGGTCAGAACCATCTTGAAAGGGAGCTTCAGCATCTGTGCCCCTGCCTCCATCATCAGCAAGCTTTTAATTCTGTAGTGGACATCTGCTGCTTTTGCCAATCCAAAAATACCAATGGGCCCAAATGAAAACAATCTGGAAGAAAAGACTTCTCTTTCTAACCAAAGGACCAGGAAAGAGGTAGCCCATCAAGGCAGGAAACTCTCCTTATGGTGTCTGACCAGCTGTACTCCGGTCAACCACCCCAGAAAAAGCTGAGACCCCTAAACACCTCTGCCAAAAAGGCTGGAGAGCCTAGACTTGAGTCGTCTCCAAACTGTAACAAGGCACCCAAACCTCTTGCCAGGGCGGTGTGAGAGAGGCCGAATGGGGAGCCAGGATCCAAACCCCTGGTCAGTGGCAAGCCTCTCCTCACACCCCCGGAGTCCCTGCGATGTCCGTGGAGACCGTGTGGGGGCCTCTCCTCCACCCGCACCTGCACTAGCAAGGCTAGCAAGTATCACTAGCAAGTGTCAGCAGGGCTCTCCCATGGCTCCGCACTAACGAGGCCGCCCCCACAGTCCCTGGGCCCTGTGGGGAGCAGGCACAAGGCCACCCTCCCCATCCCAGCCAGGGTGGTATCGATGGAGGCCTAGTGGAGAGCCTAAATTTTGAAATGTAAAAGTGGTCTATCCTGCAAGAGACTTGCGGCCCCAGCTGGTAAGCTTTGATGAGAGGAGAGGGCAGGTGATACACCAACCAGGCCACAGGACTATTTTCTCAGTGTGAGCCTTTCTTCCTATCTTACCAGACTCATTCCCATGGCTGGAACAGCCCCAAACATAGGCACCACTGCAAAATGACTCCAGGTATCTGGGTTTCAGGAAGTGTACCTGTGGGGAGGGGATTGTCAGGGTCTCAGCTTCCCCTTCTTCCAGCTGGCCTGTCCATTCACCAAATCTATCATTCACCAAATCCAATGTCCACCAAACCCAACATTCACCAAACCCAATGTTCACCAAATCCCAAATCCATGACTACTGATGCCCATGGAGTTGGGATTTTATTTTAAGCATGATGGAAACCACTGTAGGGTTTTAAGTGGAAGTTAGATTTGATTTATGATTTTTAGATTTGTCTCCTTTTAGAGCACTGTGGATGATGGATTTGGGAAAAGGGGAGGGTGTAAGCACAGGCGGTAATCAGGAAATAGACAAGATCAGCTTAAACAAAGGGAACAGAAACAATGGGGAGGGACCGGTGGGAGGCACATCTTTGGGAAGAGCTAGAGGACTTGCTGCTGGGTTGGACATGGGGTGTGAGAGGAAGAAAGGACCCAAGTGTTTCCCAGCAAAGCAGCTGGTTGGAAGGTAGAGCTGTTAACCAAGCTGGGCAAGACCAAAGTAGGAAAGGGGTTGGAGGTGAGAACGGTGTTGTGTTTCAGATGTATAAAGGCTGAGGTGCCTATTAAACATGCATACTTTCAAAGAGAAAGCAAACACTGTCAACTGGGAGCGCCCTCATGTTCCCACTTCTGATCTGGGATCCGGAAGCATCCATCTGTCTCTTCCTGTCGCCATGGAGGGTTCCCAGGTTCGGGGACCAAGCCCTCTGTCCTCATGCTTCCCCTGTGTCCCTTCACGTGCTCAAGGCCCTGTCTTCAGAGGACCTTCTCCTCCTCCAGGCTTTAGAATACTACCCTCTCCTGGTTTGACTCTAACTCCCAGGTGGGTGTTCTCAGTCCATTTTGTTGGCTTCCTCTATTGAATTTCTAAGCCTTAGAGAGGGTGACGACTAGCCTTGACTCTCTACTCTTCTCCATTCACATCCCAGCCTCAAATATCATCCAGTTTCATAATTTCAAATGCCATTTATTCCCTGGTGACTCTCAGATTCTTATCTCTATCCCCAACCTTCCTCTGACTTCCAGACTCATATTCCAGCTGCCTGTATCTGAGGCAAGAGGAAGCATGTGAACAGATGCCTCGGGAAGCAGCAGGCTCACCAGATGAGCACAGCAGGGAGGTTAGGCATGGGACCACTTGATGTTTAAAGTGAAGCCAACCATCCCTACCTTCTGATTTTCTCCAGCTGCTCAGAGATCACAACACAAGAGGCAGAAGACTGGGTCCAACCGAGCCTGGGGTCTTCAAGCAGAATATTCCTGTTACAAAGACTGGGCAAATCAAAGCCTAGTGGCTTAAAAGGACAGCAACTTCGTTATGTTTCCCAGGTTGTGAATTCAGGCAGGGCTCAGCTGGGTAATTCTTCTGCTCCTCACGGCATTGATGGAGGTCACTCACTGGTCGGGAGCATCCAAGACAGCTTCACTCACATGTCTGGCACCTGGCAGGGTTGCTGGAAGGCTGGGTTCACTGGTATTATTGATTTAAGAGCCTACATGTGGCTTTTCCAGCAAGGACCTTTGGGGTAATTGGACTCCCTATTGGTTAAGTGGCTTCCCCAGAATGAGGACCCCAAGAGAACCAGGGGGCAGCTGCATGGTCATTTCAAGCTAGCTTGGCAATTCACTGGGTGTTACATCCACTGCGTCCTTTTAGTTACAGTCAGGTCAAGAACCAGTCCAGATTCAAGGGCGGGGAGTTTGACTCCAGCTCTCAATGGGCAGTGACAAGGTCACATTGCAGAATCGCACATGGAAGGTCCACATAGGTTGGAAAATTCAATACAACCCACTTCCCAGAGGATCCCAGAGGGACAGCAAGGGGGTGGCAATGCATATGACCATGAAATCTAAGTGGGTAATGAGCTGACACTGTGAGCAGGCTTATTAATAGGCAGAAAGTATAGGTTTGATGGACCAGGAGTCTTGATGAGATGAAGGAATCTTGGGAGCAAGGAGACTGGGCAAGAAGGGATCATCAGAGGATGGGTGCTGGGAAATGGGATTTGGATAAGGAAGGACAAGATCCAGAGGTGACCCCAGGGCTGGGTGGTTGAAGTAGAGGGAAAGAACATTTGTGACATTCGTGGAGAATGTCACCCCGGCCGGGTGAGGCGCCTGTGCGAATTCTGCAGTCCCTAAGTGAGGATGACCAGTGGGGAGGGGACACAGGCACGGGGTTGCAGCCAACAGGAGCCTGAGCCTGGCAGAGCCCTGGCTCCTCTGCAGGAGAGCCGGAGGAGCAGAGCCATGGGGCTGGGTCTTACAGGGGCAGGATCTGTGCAGGAAGAGGGACAGAGGCCTCAGAGAAGCAGAAATGGGGACCGGGGGACCCCCAAGCGGTGCCCTCCACCCACCCTGAGGGGCCAGAGCACTAGAGAACAAGCCACCTCCACCATGGCAGGTGGAGGGCTGTGTCAGCAGGTGCTCACAAAGGCACAATGCCACGGTGGCACTCAGAGGGGACTGGGTAGGGGTGGGTACCCAGCTTGTCCCAGACCATGAGCCCCCAGGGCACAGGGCAAGCTCGGGGGAGAAGGCTGGGCGGTGGGGGTTGAGGATGACTGAGGAGGCTGAGGAAAGGATGGGAGGAAGCCCTGACTACTTTTCCCCATGGGAAGGTGCTCCCCGAGGCCGTCCAGCAGCGCGGGTGTGATTGGGTGGGGGTCACCCCCTCAGGCCTCACTCCTGAGCTGTCCTCCATTCCCTGCCTCAGTCTCTCTTCCTCCCTGGGAAGAGCTGCCCTCTCCTCTGGGCCCCTCAGGGCATCTAGGACAGAGGTGCAGAGCACGCTGGGGCATGGCAGCAGCTTCCGTGTGCTCTGTTGACATCCAAAGCAAGCAGGCCCTGCTTCAGCAACAATCGCTTTCCATCCCAAGATGCTGCTCTCTTACCTGTCTGAGAGATGCATGTTCCTCCAGTCAGGGTGATGGCGGCTGCCTTTCTTATGGAATAATAAGCTGGGCCTCACTTTGTTGAGAAAACTCCCATGCCCTGCCAGCCCTGGTTACTTCATGAAGTGTCCTGTATTAACTGTCTGTTCATTCATTTATTCACTCATTCACTCAACCAAATGTTTAATGAGCACCTGCAAGGAGCCAGGCCCAGTCCTGACCCTGGGGATACTGCAGTGAACAAAATGCGAAGAATAAAAACCAGAGTAAAATCTCTGTCCTGATGGAGTTTATACTCTAATGGGGGGAGATGGAAAGTACTACAAAATAAAATGATAAAGTCTCATAGCAAGGAAAACAACATGTCAGCAGGTGACAAGTGGTAAGGAGAACAATGCTGGGCAGCGTCAGGAATACTGGCGCAGGAGCAAGGGGGCTGTGGAAGCTCCCATGAGGAGTCACCCTTGGAGCAAAGCCTACAGGCTGCGATCCCTCATCCCCATTCCTGTGACCTTCAGTTTGTCTCCTGGCCTCAGCCTGGGGCAGGGGAGACTTGCCCACTCAGCACCTCATGCCCCTGAACCAGGTCCTGGCTGGCCCACCAAATGCAGTACCCTGAGTTCTCTACTTTGTGGATTCACCACCTCAGACTCCTCTCCTTGCCCCACTGCCCTGTTACTCCCTCCTGCCCCCTTCCTACCAGCCAGCCCCTTCGCTCTTGGCCCCAGGGCCCATGGGCAGACGTGTAACTGATATCTGAACGCAGGGTCCATGCAAGACAGAGAAATGAGAAACCCTCCTCCTCCAGGCTTCCAGGGGCCCCAAGCTATCTCCATCTGCAGCACCTGCCCTCCGGCTGCTGGAACCCCAGCAGAAGCTTCATTCTGTTGCTAACATTCATTTTCTCATGTGTATTCAGTGTCTCTCATCTTGCCTTATTTTTGCTCGCATTTGTACTGGCTTTTCCCTTCTCTCTGCCTCTCTGTCTCTTGTGGATAACTGCTCATCGCGGGCATCAGGGAGACAGGACCTTGATGGATCCTGATTTCTCCTAATCTCTTGCTCTTTTTCTGATGCGCCGGACAAGTCACTTCAACCTCCTTCATCTCCACCCAGCTGAGAAGCTGGGAGGATGAGCAACACTTCCCCACAAACCTGAAATAACACCAACTCCAACAGAACCCTCTTGGCTAGTACAGTTTACCAAAGAGAAAGAGCCCCTTGCATCAACCACTGACACAAAGGGGCTGCCTTGTGCAAAGCTGGCCTCCATCTCCAGGAAGAAGAAAAGTCACCAGAAGAAACTAGAACATGTCAGAGGGAGTGAGACCGGCTCTTAGGGAGCCAAGCTGAAACAGCCAGAGTGTGCAGGGGAGAAATGAGGGGGAAGTAATAGCCACAGGAGGAAAAGGGAAAGATGAGAGAGACTGAGTGACATTAGAAAGTGAACATCAATGACAGAAGGAAGATGAAAAAAGTCGGGGATAAATGCATCGTTTTTTCCTTTGGCAACAGTGGTACGTCACATGCAGAGCAAACTAGGCTTGTACTCACTGCTACTAGAAGGGTAGTTCCCAGGGGTCTCCTCACTGGGCTCATTTATACAATAGCTCAATATTAATCCCCAAGAAAAATGCTGAGGTAAACAGTGAGAGGGAGAGAACCGCGGGCGTAGCACCCTGCTGGTCACGTTCCTCAGCATAGCAATCGACACGCACCTTCACACACATGAACACAGGGGTGTGCCTGTGCCCACTGCGTACCCTTTAAAAGACTGTATATGCTTTTTTTACCTCATACACAGTACCTGTTAAACTAAACATAGAGATGGAGGAAAAATATAGATAAAATATTTTAAGCCCCTGAAAAAACTCATGGATGTTTTCTGTGCTTCATACAAGGATCAACATGGAAGTGGGAGGTTTCTTACAAAGGAAATCTCACTCAAAACCCCACACCCACCATATTACCTCCATATCTCAACAGAAGAGACCACATGATATCCCAGGTGCATCAGTCCCAGCTTCCTCCCTTTGATCCTCCTGGAGGCAAATCTTAGCTTGTAGACGTATTACATAAAATAAAACGATGGAAAATTTCCCTGCTTGTGGTTTCTTCATGTCTCAAACATCACACAAGTGTCAGTGTCCTAAATCCTGCTTTTCTATGAGCATTTTCATGGACTGTGATCCAGACAGCAGCCTGGTGACTCCTCATCTGTGTCAACATCTCTATTTTGCTAGCAATCTAAGGTCTCTTTCTCAAAACCAGTATTTTCTTTTCATTACCTGCTAAACGTGTCTCTGCATGTTCAATGGTGAATGAAGAGTCATGAAGTGGTGACACTTGCTTCCTTAGGGTGATTCAGGCTAAGGGAGCATGTAAGGGCTTTGCCCCCGTACTAGCCCACGGTGGTATCACTCATCCAGATGGCAGGCACACCAAGGACACAATAGGCAGGCAATGTGCTGAGTTGAGAAGGGCCTTTCCTGTGAGGAAAATCACTCCCTGCAGAATTCAGGGTCAGCAACCAGTGTGAACACAGACTCGAAATGAATGGTCTGGGAAAGCACACAGTGGGCTGGCCCTTGCTTCTGGGTGTCCCCTAGCCTTTCCTGTTTTTGCTAAGCAGCAATTCACCCCGTTCTCTGACAGGGTTTTACTTGGCTGTGCTGTCAGGCACATGGGCCCAGGATGTTCCCACTGAGGCTGCCCTTGGGAGTACAAGCTCCCTGCATTGCCTCAAACAAGGTTCGTGGGAACCTTGCGGCATTTACCCTGGAGGAGCTTGGCCCTTTCCACCCGTGAAGATTCCTTCCCATCATGCATGTGTGCAGCACGCCACAGCTGCTTAACCCAAGCAGTTGTAATTTACCCCAAATCCAGGCGAGGTGGGCTGCATGGCCACTGAGAACCACAGATGTAAAATGATCCCTTAGAGTCACCTAAACTAGAAATGTTAGTCCCTGGGGGTTCTGTGAGAGCTTCAGAAAAGAAAAGCAAGGGGTACAGGGTTTTCCTCTGCCTCAGACACTAGTGTCAGTAATTACAAGTGGACTCATGCCACCCCCTACCTGCTCTTCGTCCCCCATTACTCTGCTGAAGTCAGGCCCCTTATAAACTCTCAGCTGGCCTGTTGCATCACCTTTCTAACTGGCCCTCCTGCCTTGAGCATCTCTGCTTCTAACATGCCCTACTAAGGCCTAATGGGTGGCTTCAGCCGGTCCACCCCCAGTACACAGCCTTCTCCTAAATCCTCGCCTGGCACTTCATCTCCATGCCCTCCTTCCCAGTCATCTTCACATCTCACACAAGCTACAACTTCTGAGCTGAGACCTAAATGACCCCATGCGATCAACCAGGCAGGGCGTTAGCCAGTGCGTCCGGGCAGTGGGGAAAGCTTGTGCAAAGTTCCCGAGGCTAGGCTGAGTCCAGAAAGTCAGAGAGCTGCAAGAGGAGGGGGTAGGGCTGCTCAACATGGGGCGGGAATGAGAGCCAAAGAGCAGCCGGTGCACACCACCGAGAAGAGCCTGCCTCCTTAGTCTTCGGAGGGCTCCTTGGCTGATTCTGAAATGGCCTAGAGTATAGTGGAATATCCCAGGGGCTGTGCATGGAGAGAGGACCAGGACAGGGTGGGGATGGGGCAAGAGTGGAGGAAGGCTGTTGTCACAGTCTGGGGGACGTGCGGGCAGCTTGCATATGACTGGCGACTGTGAAGGTGAAGAGAGGTGAACACGCTGAGGATGGGCACTGGAGGTGGGAGGAAAAGGTCTCTGGTGGAGCGGCCGTGTGAGGGCAGGTTGGCCTGAGTGGGGAGGAGGAGGAAGCCAAAACCGACTCCCAGGCTTCTGCCTGGAGCAGAGGGAGAAGGTGGTGGCTTTTACTGAGATCATGAACGCTGGTGGAGAAACAAGCTTCTGAACAAGACCCCTGGGTTTGGTTTTAGATGTGGAAGGTTTGAGATACTCCTAAGCCATCCAAATGGAGACATCCAGACAGCAGTCTGCTGAGGAACAGGGTGGGCTGGAGGTGAGTGCTGGAGTCATCCATGTGCGAGTGGTCCTTCAGGCCAGGACAGTAAGCGGGAAGCAGGGGACTGGGACCCTCAGACCCAACCAGAGGCCCTGCCCGCAACGGAGCAGGCTGCTGGCTCCCGCATGCCCGTGCCCTCGCACAAGCCCCGCTCTCTTACCAACCCCTGAGAAATTCTACAAGCTGTCTTTTCCAGCATTCTGTAAGCATTTTAAGGGCATATGAAAAAAGATCAATTTTGAAATCCAAAGTAGTATAATGGGAAGGGTCCAGTCTTGCAAACCCAAAATGGTTCCCAGGTGCTGGCATGATTTCTACGCCCTTCAGCCCACCCAGGAGCTGCACGGTGGACAGTCAGCCGAGGACCAGCCAGCTCTGGCCCGGGAAGATCTCATCTCCTAACAGCATCTGATAGCAGTGCCCGAGCTTCCTGCCCCTCCCCTGACAAAAATCTCTCCACACCCCCAGACCTCAGAAGAGACTCTGCAGGACAATCACAAGCTAAAGCTAGAGACAGGGGCCTTGGCTGGAAGGATGTGCTGGAAGCCAGCAGAGAGAGATTGATGTGGGGAGCAGGGCTGCCCGAGGCACGTGTTCGCCATCTGTCAGGCGGAGGGAGCCCTGCCAGCCATACATGATTATTCAGTGCTAAAGGAATATTCTTGAATTTGACTGACACCCCGGGCAGCCTCTGCCAAGACAGCTGAGCTCTGGGGTCCAGATGGGCTGCAGGGGCCTCCGCTCTCCTGAGGGGGATGCCTCCGGAGGGCTGGGCCACCCAGGGGCTGCAGACGTGCTCGCAGGGCCCAGGAGGGCGTGTGGCTTGGCACAGGCCGGGAAGGCCTAGGCCTGAACCAGGAACTGAACTTCTTCTCTGTGTGGTTCAGCTCCAAAGACAAGGGTGGAACTGGAAGAAAATTACCCCTGCTCTACATGAACCTTTGGGGAACAGTGATGCCAGGCTGGCAGGGTGCCTCCTGAAATGAAACGATCAACTTTAGGCTTTTCCTGAAAATCTGTCTATAGAGATAAGTCTTGTCCATGGATTTCATGCCAAGAATGGACAGAAAGCCCCTTTACGGTGCTGATCCTGCTGATCCATGGAACATCCTAGTTTCTATTCCTGAAGTGACCCTCTTCCAGGAAGAACTAGGTATTCCCTTTCCATGGAACACACAAATGGCCAAGTGACCCTCTTTGG